ACACAGATGCACACCCCACACACACACACACACACACACACACACACACACACCACATACCATATACATATATTACTAGTGTTAAAATGCTGTGTTCACTTCTGACTCTTACAGCTTCAGGTAACTTGGGATGTAGCATTCAGCACCCTCCTTTGCAGGGTTTGATAGTCTCTTAATAAATGTTATGGGAAAAAAGGTAATTAAAGACTTCATTGTGATTTTTGCAATGACTCTTTGATAAAATAGTAATAGGGCCTCTTTAAGAGAGTGAAAAATGTATTTAAATTAATACTGCCAAAATGATACAGATCTTGCAGATCTTTCTCAGATTTATAGAATTGCAAGGAATTCTGTATATTGTATGCAACAGTCCATAAGCGTCTTATTTTATAACCTTAGCAAGCAGTACTATCTCTTAAGTTTTTTTTTTTTTTTTGGTTTTTCGAGACAGGGTTTCTCTGTGTAGCTTTGGAGCCTATCCTGGCACTCGCTCTGGAGACCAGGCTGGCCTCAAACTCACAGAGATCCGCCTGCCTCTGCTTCCCCAGTGCTGGGATTAAAGGCATGAGCCACCAATGCCCGGCTCTTAAAAGTGTTTTTAAATGGGCCTTCCATGGTGAATCTACACTAGGAGTCAAAAGAAAGTTCTGCGCTAAGAGTGTAGTACAGGATGGAGTGCTTGCTTAGCTGGAGCAGGTGCAAAGTCTGGGTTCTAATCTCCAGCACCTCCAGAGTTGTCAGACTACTGCTCCACCCCCTGGAAGGATTCTCTATCACTTCTTATGTATGCTGACATGGCACTGGGGTGTCAAGACTATTGGTAGTATTATGCCCAGCACTCTCGGGATCCCTTTTATTATTTTGATTCCAGATTATTTATATATGGTTCAGATCATTGCCCTTTCAACTTGTCTTCCATACCTCCCCAACTGAAACCTGCCCAGTTTGCTTCCATTCAGACATGTGAATTGCTGCTTCAATTTCCTACCTACTGTCCATTGAGTCCTGTCCAAAGTGACTGCTTTTGTGTTTTCTTCTAATTTTCCCTCATCTAGACTTCTCTGACCCCTCCCTCTAAAACACAGGTTTGACTCTGGATGCCCATTGTTTCCAGCTGTAATTCCACACTTTGGGCTTATCATTTACAAATCTTCACAGATTTTTTTCTTCCTCTGCATCTAAATTAATCTATTTAACAATTATTTCTGTTTCTAGCACATTTTCATAAATCTTATGTCCTGATCTTTAAATTCCCACGGCTGTCACTGGCATTTATGCTCTCCATCTCCCTTTATTGATGCTCTGGGAACCCACTACTTTTCTTTTGAAACATCTCTTCTCATTGATTGTTGTGTTAGCTTCCCATTGCTGTGACAAAAATACCCAAGGGAAGCCGGGCATTGGTGGCACACGCCTTTAATCCCAGCACTTGGGAGGCAGAGGCAGAGGCAGGCGGATCTCTGTGAGTTCAAGCCCATCCTGGTCTCCAGAGCGAGTGCCAGGATAGGCTCCAAAGCTACACAGAGAAACCTTTTCTCAAAAAAAAATACCCAAGGGAAAGGAAGGTAAGTTTATTTTGGCAGATGGTTTGATTCCATGGTCACTTGAGATAAAACAAAATAAAACAAAACAAACTAAATATTTGACTTTTATTGGATAGTGTGCTGTAGAGACCTTAGAAGTGAGGTGAGCCTAAGGAGAAGAATGAGAAAGCTGGGGACAGAGAATGAGATGAAAGGCTTGGAGCAAAAGAGAAGGAGGGACACATAGACAGGGAAGGCTGAGTTTTGTCCCAGGCTTGGGGGCTTCACCATCTTTGAGCACATTTCAGCCTGGAGATGGTCCCTTCACAAGTTTCATCCCGGCATCACCTCGGCCTCCTTCCCCACTGTACTCTATTGGTCACTGTTGTGATTTAAGAAAAGTGGCACATTTGAGAAAGATGCAGTGTGACAAGATTCAAGCAGAGGGATTTTTTTTTTGTATTAAAGAAAGGGATCATAAAAAGGGGAAAGGAAACGGGGTGGGGAGAGATGGACCTCCAGAGACAGGAGCAGCAGGAGAGAGGAGAAGGGAAAGAGGGGGAGAGAGAGGAAAGGGAAGAGAAAGGGAGACAGAGGGAGAGAAAGAGAGAAGGATGGGACCCTATGCACAGGTGGTGCTCTTAGTGGCTGCAGCTGAGGGCGGATCCTGTCAGAACACCAAGGACAGGCCAGCACAGATGCCTGAATACTAAGTCACTGCTTTCCCTCCATAGTCACTCCTACTAGACTGACGTATTTTAGCAGGGACACTTCACAAGAAGGGTGTTTTTTTTTTTTTTTTTTTTTTTTTTTTTTTTTTTTTTTTTTTTTTTTTTTTTTTGCCAGTGTTGGGACAGATAAGACTTGTTCCTCTCCTCTGTTCAGTTGAGCCAGAGCACCCGCTAGGTGCGGATGTTGTGAGCCATGGATCATAATTAATACTCATCAGACAACATCCTTGCCGTTGAAAACTTGGTAAAGAGAATATTAAATGTGAAAAGTTGAATGATGGTCTAGTGGGATGACTCCGCCGGTAAAGGTGCTTGCCACCAAGCCTGACGACTTGAGTTCAATATCTGGGATCGGTACGGCGAAAGGAGAGAAGTGACTCACACAGGTTGTTCTCTGACCTTCACATATGTGCAGGCATAACAATTAAAAGTAAGCAATGAGCTCTTTGAAGGGAAATACAGTGTGCAGTGTATATTAAAGATACAGCACTAGGGACAGGAGAGAAGAGCTCGCATGGAGTAAGATGAGATTCTATGGGATGGCTGGCCAAGAAAGAAAGGAGTTGGCAGAGCTGGTGAAACAGAAGCTGGTATTCCACAATGAACACAAGGCTGGCATCATTTATGGGGACAGAATATTAGGAAGGAGAGTGTTTCATGTTGTTGGGATCAAGAATTATGTGAAAGCAACGATAGTGACTTTGAGGTGAGGTTGAGCCCTGAGCAGGTTTGACTTGTCCTCAAAACAAAGTGGCGCTGAAGAAAACACTTAAAACTGAATATATAAAGAGGTACCCCTTGCCACATGATGAATGCCCCACAACATTTGATGGAAATGCCTTCAAGCTGGAGAAGGACTGTAAGTTAACTATAGAGAGCAATGATGTAAAAATTAAAACATAGGCAGCTGCAAAGAACCATAGCAATTAAATGACCTATGCAAACAGACAATGCAAAACAGATTCAAGTGACAATGATGTGACTAGCAGGTGATTCCGGGAGGAAGGATGACAGTCAGAAAGCAATGGAATGTTAAAAGTGATGACAGGCCTGTAATCTCAGCTATTTGGGGTGGGGGATGAGGCAGGAGGATTGCAAAGTTCCCGGACTACCTAGACTACTGAGTGAGTTCACAGGCAGTGTGGGTAACCTGGTGAGACTGTCTCAAAAAAAGGGGGAACATTTGGAGATGACTCTTGGAGAGTGCCTGCTGCACAAGCATAAGGACCTGAGTTTAGATCAGCAGAACCCAGGTGAAAGTCTGAAGGCTCTGCAGGGTGGCTGTAATCCCAGAACTGGGAATGGAGACAGGAGGTTCCTTGGGGTCTTCTGGCTAGTCAGTGTAGTCCCATTGTCAGCTTCCAGGTTCAGTGAGAGACCCTGTCTTGTATAATAAGATGGCACTTGAAGGTGATACTATAGTTACCATCCAGTCAGCTGCCATGTTGCAATGTACTCAATACACTTTTCTATTAAAAACATACAGTGGAAAATTACTGAAGGAGACACCGAGTTACTTCTACACACATGTGCATATGTGTCCACAGAATTAACCATGCAAACACACATGAAAATACACACCAAAACAAACTACACAAAGTTAAATGGCCATAGGCTTACTAGCTTGCATAAGGCCCTTGGGTTCAATTCCCAGTGAGTACCTCCTGAAGAAACCCTCCAAAGTATAGAAAGTAAAGAGCTTTTAAGGATACATGCAATTTAAGAATAATGTTTTAAGAGATTCTTTTATTTTGTCTTTGTATGTGCATCACATACTTGCCTGAGGAAGTCAGAAGAAAATGCCAGGTCCCCTGGTACTCAGGATCTGGAGTTACGGATGGTTGTAAGCCACCATGTGGCATCTGGGGACCAAACTCAGGTTCTCTGGAAGGGCAGACAATGTCCTTAATTTCTGAGCCACCACTCCAGTCCCATTCTTTACTCATTAGGAATGTCCTTCAGAGTTTCCAGGTCTGTCTCATAATCCCTACTCTCCTGGAAGGTTGAGGCACGAGAATCTCAAATGGAAAATTCTGCCTTGAAAAAAAAATCATCTTTCTGAAAATGAAGATGAAATATCCGGGTCAATCAAAGGGGATCTGCACGGAAATAAATCTGAGATGGTTCTTTAGGAAGAAGGAAAATCAAGACAGAAACATGAAAATGCAGGAGGTTGTGAAGGGCAAATATGTACACTGTGGGGAAAAAGTGGCCCTGACAGAAACCCAACAACCCCCCAATGCCGTTGCAGAACATGTTTACTGGAGCAGAATGTTGTTTCCCTCCGAGAGCTCT